ATAGTTACTCGGTAGGTCACAGTAATGAAGTCAAGAAGCCTAATTAAGGAATTTCATCTCCCCTCTCATGATAGGGACCAACATTAAATTAAAATACAAGTGCTGGTGCCATTGTATCACAGAAATGTTTTAAGGGAAATACAGCAAATGTTTGTTTCTATTTAAGAATTATTGTATGCTAGCTATATTTTAATAAAACTCTTTTAAAAAAAAAAAGAATTATCTGCGTGCTGGATACTGTCGACATATTGATTTTTAAATGCATTAGCCAAAGCAGTGGCCATAATCAATATTATTGAAACTTTCCATTTATAGTGGTCCTTTTTAGCTAATGGGTTTCATCCTAGATGTATTTGGTGTCACCAGTGCTTGTGTTAAAAGCCTTGATTCCCTACTTTACCCCCATCGATTCTAAATTCCGTCAGGCAGGCATTCAAGGCTGTACCTGGTCCAAGCCGGATGACCCCTAACATGCACCCAACTCTATGTCCCGTGAGCAGATACTGTCACTGGCCTCCCATCTCTGTTTGCCATTTGGCTGTGCTCACAATGACCAGTACCTGCAGCTCTGCTTCTGAGGGCTGCCTTCAGGCTACTGAGGCCATTTGGCCCACATTTGTAGAGCCAGACCCAGTGACTGTCCAGCAGGTCACAGAGAAGTCCAGGCCCTTGGGACAACTCTTAGGCCTCACTACTGTGAGCACCCCCTGCAGCATCGGGCTAAGGCTGCCTTCTGCAGACTTCTCAGGAGTTCGCACGCTTGTCTGGCTTCCTCCCCCTCCATGTCCTGCTTCCCAGCACACTTGACAGTCTCATGAGAAGATTTCCTTAATAAAGAACGTGCCACACATCCTTGTCCCCAGGTCTTCTGGGGAACCCGACCTTAAACATCCTCTAACCAGGCGAGCTCGCCTCCCCTCCCGGGTGCTGCCTTTTCCCCATAATGGCTGTTTCCCTCTCTGAGAATGCCCTTCTCTTCCCCTTCCTCCAGGGAGCACAACAAAAATCAAATGATATATTGTAAGTGAGAAAACACTTCAAAACCCATAAAGTGCTCTACAGAAGGGAGTCACTTTGAGCAATAATTACGCTAATCTCACCCATCCTTCCAGATCTGCATCTAGTGTCACCCCCTCCATGAAGGGGTGCCCTGCAGCTGTTCCTGTCACATTTTTATGGGATCATACATCTCGCCACCCACAGTGCAAGCCCCATGAAGGTGAAGACTTTGTCTTGTTCACTGTTGAAGCCTCAGCATCTAGATGGATGTCTGGCTCACAGTGCATGTTTGGAATATATGTGTGAAACAGTATTGCTGAACTCCAGAATCTCGGGCTAGTCTCAGTCCTTCAGGAAATGGAGCACCAAAAGCCACGCTAAGGCTCATCTAGCGTGCCTACAGCCCAGAGAGAACAAATGACTTGCTTCCGTACAAAACAACCTGATGGCACAGCCAGCATCTGACGCTTCATCTCTTGTCACCTAGGCCTGAGAACTTTCCATCAATGACTCCAGCTCCAGGCCTGACGCTTCCCCAGATGGGCAACAGCAGGGAACACTACAGCCCTTCTCCTTCAACCAACGTATTGGCATCTGGGTGGGTCCACTGAGGGATATGCTATCTTGTTTTAAAGATGGACTCAGAGTTTTAGCTCTATAATTTTGTGTGTCTAGTTTTCATTTCCCCAACCGAACCTGAAGCTTCCTAGTGGCGAGGACCTCACTCACTGAATTCACCTTCCACATCGTCCACAGGACCTTGCCCAGGGCTGAGCACACACATCAGGAGGAGGAAGGAGGCAGACAAAAGAGAAGAGCACAGACACTCAAGTCAGACAGACCTGGCTCCAGCTCCAGCTCTGCACTCATTACCATCTGTGCAACCTTGAGTAAAGGCGTTGAGCTTCTCAGCACCTTGCAGAGTACTGTGAGAGTGCTAACAGACCCTGAGTCCCAGGACTATTGCGAGGACTAAATTAGATGATATATGTAAAGCATTTCGTACAATGGTTGGCACAAGGCGACCACCCAGTAAGTATAACCTGCCATCAGTGATAATAGTAATAACAGTGGTAGTCAAACAGGCTCCATAAACACCAACTACCACGTGGCTTAAACAGGCAAGATCAGAGACTTGGATTCAGAAAAACCCCGCTTATAATGTCTATTAAATAACGAGGATACCATACCAGGTGTCTCCTTTTCCCTATAAATATAAGATGTTCAGTGACAGAACACAGTCCCCAGCGTCTCTCTCCACAGGGACAGACCAAAACCCTCCAGTTTCCTCTTGGGGATCACCTCCAATCCACCTCTCCTAACTCCCAGCATGCTGCTCTGTCCCATTTGGTTTAGGCTATGTCCTGAACCCCAGGAGAGCAGCGTCGGCCACCCTGAGATTCATAAAAGCCTCCCTCTGACAGCCTCTTCAGTTTGTTCATTCATTCCACAAGAGCACATTTATCAAACGCTAGACACTGTGGATCAAGAGCTAAACCAGGTGAGCCCCCTGCACCTATGAGCTCCCAGCCCTGAGAATCCTCTGCTTCTATTTCTTAATCAGATACTACCTTTGAAAGCTTTCCTTCCTCCCAAGCAACATTAAGATAATTGTCTCATTATTAGCAATAATAGCAGAGGAACTAGAGTCAGTCTGCCAGGGTTAGAATCCTGGCTCTGCCACTTTCTTATTATGTAACCATGGGCAAATTTATTCCCCTCTCTGCCTCACCCACCTCACCTTTAGAATGAGGACAATAATATCTACCAATTAGACTGCCGTCAGAAAGTAATGAAAACCCAACAAAGCCTTTAGAACAGGGCTTGACACATAGTAATAAATGTTCACTAATACCATTTTACAACTTAGAACAACATTCACTATCAAGTCTAGAATGGTTGTCTGGCCTTAATACAACAAAGAGCTAAGCCAACAACTAAAGAAGTAAAATGTTCTGAAATATTGCTATGTCACAGCAATGCTCCTTTTTGAGGCATCTGCCAAGCCATCTGAAATTTCTGCTCTCAGGGAAAATGTAAAGAATCTCCAGCAGGGGCCACAAGTTTTATTTGGTAACTCAAGCTCAAAGAAGGCTCTAGCACAGACAGCATCCTGAGAGCTCAGTTGGCAGGAGGCGGCCCTGGCCAGGGTTGGACCAACTGCAGAGGCTGCCCCCAGACATCCCTGAAAGGCAGCCTGAGGCCCAGCATGCAAGGTTAGCGCAGGTTCTGGAACCAAAGGACAGTCAAATCAGAGGGCAGGACAGAGCAAGGGAAATCCTGGCAACTGGCAAAATTTGAGATTGAAGATGGTGACACTATGGTCCACATCACTGACAGCAAGACTCTCAGCCCAGAGTATGAAGGAAAGTCCAGCTCTCAGGGAAGGTAGCTGGCAACAACTAGGCAGGATTCCCCAAACAAGTGAATTTGGGTTAAGAACAGTCCTAGAAGGAAGCATAGTACTAAGCAGGTAAATCAGGACAACATTACATTCAAATTACCTGAGCTAATATGGCAAGTGAGTGGGAGAAGGTAGACAAAGGAAGAAAAAGGGAAAGGCAATGACAAAACTCAGAGACCATAAGTCACCAGGGCTCATCCTTGGCATGCCAGAAGACAAGTCTACTGGCCACAAAGACTTGATTTCAAGTTCCTCCAACAGTGGATCTGTTGACCCAGCTGTGGGCACCTGTGCATAGAAAAGGTAGGAAAAATGATACAGCAAGGCCCACAGGCAAATCCCAAACCAAAACATTGTAAGAAACAGCCATTCCAGGCTAAGTCAAGGATGCCAGTGTCCGTATGTGGGTTTCATTCTGCATGCTCAGCACTTGAAATGAAAGTAATCGACAGAAGTATTATCAGCGATGTGGGGTAAACCATGGGGCACAGTTCTACTTCGGGTTAAGGCCTTCCTGGAGAAGGCAATTAACGGCAGCTGACCTCTGAATATGTTTTCTGTATCTATAGTGTTTTTCACTCAGCCATCAAATCCAGAGGACAAATGCCAAAGGCCTCTAGAGGGTTAGCCCCTGAATAATGGCCTAGAGACTCACAGCTCTTTTTCCACTTCACATCTTAAAGCCCAAATCCATCCCCCAACTTTTAGACTTTCCTCTTCCCATGTCTCTGAATCAGAGCCAGAACTCAGCCCCCACCCCACCCCACCCCACCGTGGCCAGGATCCATGGTCTTGCAATTCAGGGACACACCAGTCTTTGGGGCCTCATTCCACCAAACTACTCCAGAGTAGTGGGAAGGAAAGAGCCTACAGCACTCATAGCACCAGAGAAAAGACTTAAGATCCCAAATCAGGGGTAGAGCACCTTTACCCCCGACCAGGGATGACTATAGGGACCCCCCAGGCACAGCAATAAAACTCAGGGGGTCCTTATCAATTCCAATGTCTGAGACTCAGCTTTTTTCATCTGTAACACAAGGAGGCAAAACTATGTGACTTCCAAGGTCACCTCCAACCCGGTATTCTGACTCCTGACTTGATGCAGGGAACCAAAGAAGTCCAACATTTGACCAGCTCAAGGAACCAGGTCACATTCTCCGCTGGGGAGGGGCCCCAGACTAGAAGAGCAGGAGTGGCCACAAGGCCACAGCCCTAACAAGAGAGGTCAGAGGAAGCAAGCCATGCTTGGAGCCTGGATCCAGCCTGGCGGGCCTCTGCCTGACTTTGCAAGTATTTAATTCCTGAGTGTGAGAAAAGGCACAAGAACCCCTGGGTCAGGAGAGATGAACTTCTTTCTCAAGCTAAAATCTGGGCTGATTTCCTGTGCATGTGCGTGTGCGTGCATGTGTGCGTGTGCGTGTGTGTGTGTGTGTCTATGCGTGTGTGCATGTGTGTGTGCGTCTGTGCGTGTGTGTGCATGTGTGTGCGTTGCTGCTGCCCATGAGAGACGAAGCCCCTGAGGCTAATCCCATGGCCATTCCTCCCAGGCAGTGATGGGCAGCCAGCCGCCCTGCCACCTTCCCCCTTAGCCTCTCACCTGGGGATTGTCCATGTACCAGAGAAGGCAGTTGGCCTGGGTGTCCAGAATAAAGTACCTCCGCAGGAACTTGCCACTGTTCTCATGCTCCTCGATGTCCAGAAACCCACAGATTCGGTTCTGCCGATCCACATAAGGCATTCCTGGGCTCTGCTCACATCACCCTGCATGGCAGGAGGGAGGGAGGTGCTGGTGAGAAGGAGGGTGAAGTGGACCCTGCCTCAGGACCTGTAGGAACCTCACTCTGGCTTGACTCACCTCTGCGAGGAACTGGGCTGGCACGCTCTCTCATCAGCTTCCTATCCCAGGGCACCAAATGTTCCACCCCAACCAGACCCTGGAAACATCTATCGATTCCATTCCATAAGCAGTTATCAAAATCCATTAATGTGTCACCTAACTTTCCTGAGGCTCTTTTATGAGCCAAGCAGAGCATTAGGCAACTTTACATACGTAGAGGATATAGGCCTAGACTTTGGGTCAGGGGCCTGGGTTCCAATTCCCCTTCTGGCTTTGCATTGTATGACCACAACCTATTTCATCTTTCTGCACCTCAGTTTCTGCATCTATAAAACGGGAATAATAGCAGTAGATGTACCTCGTAAGATTTTGGTGACAATCAAGTGCTTGGCACACATTAAGTACTTCATAAACACTAGGTATTATTACTCTTCACAAAAGGAAAGTAGGTCATAACCCAATTTTATCCATAAAGAGACTGCATCAGAAAGGATTTAAGCTCCAATTCAAATACCTGAATTAAACTTTGCCAGGAATTCAATCATAGACAGCAGCCCCTCCAGATCCATGAAGGGACCAAAGAAGCTTATCGGAGGGGCTCCTGAGACCTCATGGCAGGGCCACATCCCTCAGCCACAGCTTCACTTTGCTGTTTCCCAGAGGCCACTTGTAATTCAAAGAAAGAAGGATCAGAAGAAAGCCCCAACCCCTGAACACTTTCACTGACCCCAGAACAGGATCTCGGTGTTAAGAGATGAGCCGAAACCTTCAAGCCAGCTTCCTTTCTCCTTGGGATTTCCTTCCATCTCTCCGAAGAGCCAAAGGAAAGGTCAGGAGCTCTGTTCTCCTCCCCAGCACCTTCCCACAAGCAGTTACACCCAACCTGATGCACAACATAGTACACAAGTGGGGCAAGGTCCCACAAGGATTAGAAAACACCACATGGCACTCAGACTTTCAAGGACAGACACCACTCACCCTGGCCCTGCTTGGCTCCAACAAGCAAAATTCACTAAGACCCAAGCCCACCATGGTTCTTAGTCTACAACTAAGCCAAGCTGTGAGACAGCTGACTTAAGGCCATTCCCTGCACTACAACACTGGCCAGCAATTAAGCTACCGAGACGCTACACCTAGTCTTCCAGGGCGGGGGGGGGGGGGTCCTGTCCCACAAGCGGGGAGACACATTCCTACGAGATCAGGCTAATTGTAAGGATGGTGACTGGCAATGTAGTCTGTTCTCTCCCACCAACACCCCCCGCCCCCACCCAAGAAGCCTGGCAGTGTTGCGAGGCTGCCCCAAGGAAAAAGTGACCCCCACACACACACACAAGGATACCAGTGCACAGTGAATCCCTTGGTTCCAGATAAGGTCTGGCCAGAATCCCAATCAGCACAGACGACTCAGTCAGAAGGGAGATCCCACGGCTACTCGCTGGGTCATGATGGGGAATAAAAGAGTAAAGCAGGCAGGAAAACAGGGCAAAGATGAAACAACACAGCTAAAAAGCAAGTAAAAGGAGCAGCAGTAAAAGAGGAGGTGAGAAAAGAATCAAAAGTGGAAAGAGGAGGTTTTAAAAGATGGCAGAGAAGAAAGAAGAAGTACAGCAGACGTGGAGGACAATGGCGGGTGAGGGTTGGGGAAACCCTCCTGTATGAAGTAGCATCGTATCTGTCAGAAGGGGCCTGGGCTGGCCGAGTTGATTGCATTCAGGTTAAGTGTACCACACCTGCAGCCAGATCCCCTGCTTCTCAGTCCCTTCCCAAACCAAGCTTCCATCCCAGCTCCAGTTCCCTTGGTTCACAACGGATCAAGTGGGAGTCCAGGAAAGGCTAAAAGATGCATACTAGCCAAAAGTTAGGAACAAAGGCCATGGGAGGAACTTAAGGTCTTCTCGCAGACACTGGGTCAGAGACGGACAGGCGAGAGGCCTGGCGTGGGCTGGGGAGGGAGCCTATCCCTGAGAAAAGAGGCAGCTTCCTCTCAGGGAACAGGGGAAAGCAAGAGTCCCCTGCAGAAAGGCTGGGTCAGCCTCATGCTGAGAGTGCACAGATGTCTGGTCAGGGCGAGGGAGCTCACTCACTCCCCAGGAAAACTCAGCAAATTTCCTTGAGGCCAGCCCAGCCACAGAGACAGGGTTTCCAGGGGTTTCAGGACTATTGCCACTGCTGGGACATTTCTAAGAGAAAAAGCATTTAAACTGCAGTGGGACAACAAAGCTGACTGTCTCTGAGCCCACGCAATAAGCACAGCATCCAACGCAGGCAATGTCGTGCTGGCTTTCACACGCTCCCTTTTCAGCCCACAGGACTGATCAGTGCCTGTCTTGTTCTCAAGTCAGAGGCTAGAGAAGGCACTCTTTCTACCATCCTCCAAAAGCCCACTTTTGTTGAGGGCTTCCCATTTGCATGGCTCCATGGGAAGAAGACCCTGACATACCAAAAGGAAAGAAAATTAAAAGTTAATTCTGGTTCCAACATCTTCTGACTGTGGTTCTATCCCCAGCAAAAAAAAAAGCTGCTCAGATGCCCTCAGAAGCCGCTGAGTCACAGAGCTCATGGGGAATGTGGGAGGTGGGGGAAAGGCTCGGCTACAGGAGAACCGAGCATCACATGGACATGTGGTTATAACCAGAACATGACATACTCAAAAGATGGTGCACAAAACACAAACCTGGTGCACAAAACACAAATCTGAGGTCCTAAGCCCCAATCCACTGACAGTTCATTCCAATCCCATTTGTATAGCTCTTGTCACAACAGCTGCTAAGATTTGGTACAGAAAGCCTGCTGCACCCAACCCCCAAATCCCCTCTCCCTGTCTCTTCAACCTGTCACCATCATCTTCCAAGTCTCTGCTGGTTCCTCCCCTTTTTCCAGAGAGCGCCCTTTAATACAATTAACTCTGCCACCCCAGGCCCAGCTTCAATGACTGGGCAGTGAGGGGAGAAAGGGAAAGGGAAGTGCTAGCAATTGGTACTCAAGGGTACACCTGGTGCATACACACATACTGTCACCCCAAAATTCCCCTACCAAGACCAAGACAAGACTTCGAAATGTCCTTTCCAACTGTCACAACATCCCTCCAGTTATATAGTTTGGGCCTATTTTCTGACTCTAAAATCACTTGTTACCTTAAATTTCAACTCGAGTTCCTCAGTGTAAAATTATTGGATGGAGGGTGACATTGAGTGGTTTGTCTCAGGAGTTCCCCCACCCACTCCGCATGTCGGGGGGCCCCAAACCTTGGCAATGACTCTCCCATCTCCTGGAACGACATGCAAAGTGGTCTCGCTGGGTTAGAGCACCAGATACCCATCTCTCAGGCTAGCCTCCTTCACCTTTGCTTTGCTCTAATACCATGATGAAACCACCCAGCAAGCAGCTTTTAGCCCTCACAACACATGGAAGACAAAGAGCACAGAATAGTTATGCAGGAAGGGAACTTGGACCACTCCACTCAGCACCCTGTCTTTCCAAAGCATGCCAAACCTCCCTAGTGTTTTCCACGTCTAGTACAAAAATCACAATATAACAATGCTGGCATTTTTAAAAGATCACTCTAGCCAACCATTTTCACTTTTGCGTGCTTTTTCATGCCCCTGTCGGCATAATCAGCCTTTTTAAATTATATCTAAACATGTTCCATGTTGCTACATCATCTTTGTAATCACTGTTTCTAATGGTTGCATAAAATTACTGGACTGGATTTAGTATAATTTACTTAACCATTTCTCTATGATTAGAGAGATTATATCCAATTTTTCACTATTATAAATAATGCTGAAATTCATATTTTCATGCTTTCTTTTTACATGGAAACAGCATAAGTTCTCATAATATGACTAGATCATAGCTTATGATCTTTTATAATTCTTGAGACCTATTACAAAATTGCTTTCTAAAAATATTTTAACTGTTTACATTACAGCCATATTGTTAACATATTGTTACCATTGTTATATTCTTATATACATCAAATGTTCTCATTATTTTAAACTGTTGCCAGTTTTAAATACATAAAGATGCCTAGTGAGGCTCAACTTCAATTTTTTCATGTTTATTTCCTGCTTCATCTTCCTTCCTGGACTTTGTTAAATGCAAACAAAAACGATGTGTACACACAATCAATATCAATCTCTCTGTGTCACACAACCCAACTCAAACCAAACCAAACCAAACCATGGCCTCATATAATCCAAATAACTAAAGAATGTATTTTAATGAAAACTAAAATAGAAAAGAGCAAAGTTTTATATGATCCAAATTTCTTCAGTATATAAGTTCTTAAGTATGCATTGCAAATGAAAATATACCAAATATTTCATTTATATAAAAGCAAAACTTTGAAGAAAAAAAACATGAATTTTCATGGAGTTACCCATTGATCAGCAGCATTTAACTTAAATGTCAATTAAGCCAAGATTCCTGGCTAGCATTTGCCCGCTGACCAGACAAAGCTAATGAGAAGAGTCCATGGCTGCCTACCTTACAGTTCTCTGTCGAAAATACCTCAACTTCCCATTTCAATGCCTCAGTTTCCATCATTGGAAGAGATTCAAGCCAAGAATAAAACTGTCCCCTAGGAACTGAGCAATTGACAACTTTATCAGGCTCATAATATACAAGAGCTATCTGGGACCAAGACACTAAGAAAATAGAACATACTCCAATGGAAGACAGAGGCAGTAGAGGGGCGAAACAATAAAGAGAAGATTGCTGGTTGAAACAAATGTCATCTACTCAAAAAACTTCCCTAAGATTCTTATATACCCAGGACAAGAGTAGGAACCTTTCTGGAAAGCAATTTGGCAATATGTAACAAGAGAACTAAAAATGTTCATACCCTTTGACCCAGGTATTCTACTTCTAGGATTCCATCCAAGTAAATAAACAGAGATGCAAATAAAGATTAAAATAAAAA